AGACACCACACATCTCTGAAGATGTTGAAGTGGCCTAATGTGGTTACTTTGACAGCAACAAACATGAAACAGTCCTTTTAGTTTGAATGACTAATAGCTAGTATGATAGTAAGTGGGAGAGAAAAAAATTCAAAATTTTAATTAAATGATGTTCTACATACTTTTCTCCTTTGGACTCATTTCAGTCACATGCTAAAGCAGTTGCCTGAGATTTCCACAGCATTAGTTAATTCAAAGGAGCAGAAAATGAATCAGTACCAGAAACTTATTTATTATGCCCTTCTTTCCTTTAAGCACCATGATAAAGTCAGTATCTCTTGTGATCACAGGAGTTTGCATTTCTAAGACTTGGGTGTATCCAATTTAAAAGTTGATTAACATATATCCAAACATAATAATAAAGTTATTTGTTTTATTTTTCTTTACCTTTCTGTTTACTGAAAGTAACCAGTGATGGAAATATTTAATATTATATTTACTTGTATATTTAAGTGATAGAAATAAGACATGAAAATACTGACACTACTGAGAGAAAGCTTTTTTGTGTGTTTTCAAACAAAACAATTTACACGTATGATTTAGACCTACCCTCCTTTATTACAAAATATGAATGCCTCTTGTATTAATAGTGTCCATTGCCTATAGCCCACCGAAAATTGGAGTCCAAGAAATGAAATAGTCACAGCTGAATCAGATCAAGCACCAATTAGATCTGGAGATACCAAGTTTTAGGTGAAATTATGGAAAGAGTTAACTGAATATTAATTGGAAGTGGGGAAGCACATAATGAAATCCCAGTCCTGATTTTGCTATAGATTAACTGTGCAACTGTGTTTCATTTAGTCCATCTCAGATCTGTATTAGCACTCTACTATTATTGAGTTATTACTGCTGCTAATAAGACCAATACAAGTAATTGAGAGTTTCCAGTGTCCCAGTGCTTTGGTCCTATTTCTTCTACTTTTCTCTTTCTAAAGCTCTAGTTAGGGGAAAAAACAGTAAAGTGATATATATTTCTGGAGAAGAAGCACTTTTTCTACATAAAACAGTCCTCCAAAATCTGCTATACAGCTTTCTGGCATGTTTTCTGCTAGTTGTATGTGGTGTTCAGTGGGACAGTTCCAAAGAGATATACACTGTAGATCAGAAAGAAAAAATTTGCCATAGGTTCATTCTGATAATTTAATTTGCTTTTTGTGCTGCTTGCGACCTTTTCTTTCTTTCTTTTCAGCTATGCAGAGTCCGTGACTACTAGTAATAGCTAAATTTGCCCAGAGGATTCTAATTTCTATTTCAGAAGGTAAAAAAGTGCATTTCACTTTTGAGTATGCTTCTTGAAAATTTTCCCCTTTATCAGTTTATTTTGTTCTTTTCCTAGAGTTGTTTAAACATTTTTTTAACCTAAAAATGAGGGTGTGTCAGAATTGTTGCAAGCAACGATAGAGGTAATCATGTGTGGTTCTTGTTATAAGCTTTGTGTTGATATTGACTGCTATTTAAAATAGTACCTCTAAGATGAATCTTTTAGCATTTTTCTTTTTCAAGTGAGCTTATTCTCAACATTTAATCATTTTTCACACCAGTCATATTCTTGTAATACCGTTAATGTCCTAGGATCAATGTAAGGTATTTGAACAAGGGGCTCAATATAGTATGAGTTATTTCCTCTATTACACATTCGTATATTTCTTAGATTTCTAAAGACTGTCTCTTTAAGCAACCAACATTAATTTTACAATTTACTTGTATGTTCTGATTTCCTAAATAGTTTATTGTTTAGAAAATATAGAAACATTAATGAAGAATATGTTTAAAATCACCATTACCAGAGATAGAGCGCCTGTAAAATTTTGGTATAATGTATATATAGTTGAGGTTATATCATATCTAGTTTTGAGTTATAATTTTTAAGTTGAATTTCTTAACAGCTTGTTTGATGGCTCAGAGTTATCATTATGAACATCTGATTCCTGAGCTACTCCTTGAGTTGAGGGTTTGTTAAGGCTACTTATCTCTATATTGAGTGGCCCCTAAAATGCTGTACTTCTTTGAGTTCTTGTGTCTGCATTTTGGGTTTCCTGCCTTTGACTTTGTTTCCAGACTGTAAGTTGTCATTTCTCTGTAATTGACGTATTTGCCTCCAGTAATACTACCTCTCCTTCTATACTCCTACAAGCTGCTATTTCTATTCAGCTCTGGGCTGATAAGAAGAGAGAGAAAATTAACATTTTATAGAGTTATTTTTTGTTATACAGCACTTCGTGCAGATGCTTTCACATGAATTATTGCTATTTATCACAAGTTTTTACATTATTCTTGGTTTGGGGCACCTGGGTGGCTCAGTAGGTTCAGTGTTCGACTCTTGATTTTGATTTGATCTCATGGTTTGTGAGATCAAGCCTGGTGCCGGGCTCTGTGCTGACAATGAGGAGCCTGCTTGGGATTCTCTCTCTCTCTCTCTCTCTCTCTCTCTCTCAAGCTCTCAAAATAAATAAATAAGCATTAAAAATTGTTATTGGTTCAATGTTTATTTATATAACAAAGAGTCATTTATTGAGCACTTACTACCTGCCAGACTCTGCGCTAAGAACTTTATATATACCATGTCAGTTGAGTTTATTCCTGCAGTATTCCAGAGAGGTGGACTATTTTACAGAAAAAATACCTAGTGTCAGAGAAGTTGAGTAACTTGCCCAAGATCATACTACTAGTAAGTAGTAGAGTCAGGATTTGAAGACGTGCCCCTGAAATAATTAAAAGCGGTATAATTATGTCTGAAGTAAGACTCAATAGATTCTGAGCTCAGGCTCCTTTAAATAAGTAAATAAGCTGTAGTGTATTACCTTGAGACATCTGTTTTGGGTTTTGCTTAGTTTATAATTCTCCTCATTGCTCTATAATAGGGATGTTGCTGTACAAGGGATCTATTGAGCAATGTAGTGATTCAAGTGTGGAAAAGTGTCTAAGCAATTCAATATTCAAGCCAAATTAATCCTAACAGAACGAAGTTAACAAATATCTACCAAGGAAGGGACAATTCTTATGATTGTTAAATAAGGCTGTTTTTCATAATTCATAGAATCAAGAGTGTATTCTTTGCTAGATTTCCTCTATCAAAAGTACTGATTTATGAAATTACATAAGAGTTAATTTAGCAATTAGCCAAAACACCATTGTATTGATTGTCCATATCTATACTTCTTGGGGAAATAGGTTTTAATCTCAATGTGTGTGTATGTGTGTGTGTGTG